GTTTCAAATTACCACTCTGTACTTTTCATGTTGTTATGCAAATTCAGGCCAATTTTACCGCGATCGCAAAAAGTATTTTCCACGACTTTTATTGGCTATTTTTGTGCCTCACTTCTTTAGCTTTGTTTTTGTTATTATGGCTTCGACTTTCTTTCACGATTTCTTTTAGAAACGAAAGAAAGCGAGTCTATAAAATTGCATGGCAATCGAAAAGGTTCAGACCGGCATACAGCTGTATATCGCGTGTGAATTTCCACTTTATCCTCGGAGTAAACACGGACTGTCGAAGAATACTTTAATTTTCCAGACTTTCGGCGCGGCTCAAAACTTACACTTCCTATACTTCTAACTGTATCGTGTTTGATCTGAATTATTTTTGTAATTCGCACCAAGTTTGTTCTTTTTTGCAAGTCGGGTTACAAAGATTTTCAAAAAAGTGCCCAGCGTTGAATATTTGTGCCCAAACCGTGCCTAAACCGTGCCTAAACTGTGCCCAAACTGTGCCCAAACTGTGCCTAAAGTGTGCCTTAGCAATATTTTAAACGTGCCTTAACTGTGCCTAAAGTGTGCCTAATCTGTGCCTTTGCATGTTTTTTTCCCGTGCTTTGGCACAAAAACCGTGCCTTTTCTTGAGCGCGAATCGTGCGTAAGGCACGGTGTTACGCTCGTGTACACCAGTAGCGTGCGCCAAGCCTCATGAGATGAAACCGGAGGTGTAAACAATACTTAGAGGAGGGTTGGAAAGTCGTCCGATGGGGTCCATCGGATCCATTGGAAACACATCGATTCCGATGGAATCTCAGGAAGTCTAGTCGTGCCATGAGTCAAAACAAGCACACTGTACGTGTAACATAACTCGTTCATATGCTTCGCTCTTTAATGGTAACTATAATATGAGCTACAATTGAGTAGAATTATTAAAAGAAACATACTGGTAGGAGGTAGGCATAACATTGAAACTGACATTACATGGATACAAAATGTATGAAGTTATTGAACAGCTGAAGTTTTAAACCTGAGCAATATTGAATTATTATTTGTTTTGTAAAATACTTAGTAAAAAACATTCAGTGATAAAAGGCTATATAAAACATTACATAAATCAGTGCTGGTCACTTCACACATCAACCAGCTGTAGACAGAAATTGAAACTGAACGATTCTAGATCTTTAGGGGAACTTTCTAAGTCCCGTATAAAGGCTTATTTTTGACTTCCTTTTCCTCCTTCGAAGAAAAACAATGATCTGCTCATGGATATTTTTACATCATGACCACAAGTTCCCTTTAAGGCGAATAAAAGGTCGCATCGAATACTGAACACTATCAGTATTCGATGGAAAGAAAGTCGACTAAACGGCGTTTAAACCGACTGTAGGACACAGAGTGGCCATGAACTAAAGGTAAGGGAACTTTTTGAATCAATATTTCGCGTGATCATGATTTTTTTTTTCTTAGCGTTGTAGATTCGAATACATGTGATAAAATTCGAACAATAAGTAGGGGCACCCAACGAGGATATAGTTCAAAACAAATCAACATAGCATTGTTGAACATATTTTAGTATTTAAACGGTAAATGTAGGCATATTTTTATCCCCTAAAAACTTTTCATCTGTTCGGATTTCCTAGCTGAAAGTCTAGTGATCCGAAAATTATAGGGATAAAAACTGTTACCTTTTCGAAAATTTCAGCCAGGAAAAGGCTCCCGAAAATTCTAGGTGACCTTTTTTAGGGTAAATATCCGTTTAAAATGGGTATTTATACCATTTTGCAGATGTTCGAAAATCCTAGGAGAGGCAGGCAAGCAAGAAATTTGACAACAAATGTTCCGAAAATTCTAGTTCCCAAATCGTCTTCCGAACAGATGTTTTCCCGAAAATTGCCGTTGGGTGCCCCTGAATAAGGGCCCGAATCACATGTAATAATGCAAGATATATCGATTTTCGTTATCTTAAAGGCTACTAGTACAGATAGACAAACAAGACTTCATATCTTTAAGACTTTTTGCATTTATTTGGCATCAGATAATACACTAATAATTCTAGTATATTCCGACCAAATGACCTCTGAAGCCCGAACCCACAAATAGTGCGCTTGGCCTGCCTGTGGTCTAAGCATGATTGAAATACATTATGATGCTGCGTCCTATGAATGTCGTTTTAAAACTCAATCGCTTTGTAAATGTCACTTGTAGTTTTAATATCAGAGGAGAGTATCTTAAAGCTCAATATTTTTCAATACCATTAGCATGTTGTTTTTTTACCAATCAATTGACTGGCTTCTTTGTGCCACTACATAATGTGTGTACAGTGAAACCTGTATTAAGCGGACACCCTCGGGGAATGCTGTAGTGTCCACTTAATACAGGGTGTCCGCCTAATACAGGTTTCGATATATAACGTCATATGAGGTGTCAAATGCCATTCAAATGAACAGTGGAAGCGTTTATAATACTCCCAGAGACTATGACGATGGACGTTTGCATTATTTTCTTTATCAAAGTGAACCAATTGATCACAGTACCATAAACAGGTCGGATGTTGTTTACTCTGGGTATTGTCGACCGAGATATCGAAGAAATCAGATGAGTGAAACAAGCCCTATACAAACAAAACGAAATAGAAAACAATCCTGTACTGTGAAACTAATCAAATAAGTTCGTCAAGTCACGTTTTGTAATGTAAAAATCGAAAAATTTGTGGGTGGCAATTCGAGGCAATCTTTCGCATTTCCGGTGTCTGGCATGTTGGGTGGTGGAATTTAATTACAAGTGTCTGTTTAATACAGGTTAGCAACAATAGAAATGGCCCTTTTTAGGTACTTTTTAGGTGTCCGCGTCCGCTTATAGAGGTGTCCGCTTAATAAAGGTTTCATTTAAAGTAAATAAGGGAAATACATTTGGGGACTTCGGCTACTGTCCGCTTAATAGAGGGTGTCCGCTTAATACAGTGTCCGCTTAATACAGGTTTCACTGTAGTTAAATATAAGTTTACAAGCAAGACCGGCCGTTTCGAATCTTACGATTCTCATCAGTTGCTATGTGGTGGGATGGTTGAGGTGAACTCTGAACCATTCCGTATTGCTTGATTTAGTAAGCGTTTATATATCCACCCTGGTTTGTTTGGAGGATCGAAAATGGTGCGGTTTGATTGGTTCCTTGCAAAAAACCAATCAGGTTGCTGTAGGTTCGATCCGTGTTTTCTCAAAGCTAGGTTGTGCTTTTATAAAGGTTTAAATTTGAAAAATAGGACTCTTGCCTTGCTTTTTTGTAAAGTATAAAAACATCTTGTTAAAATGTTTATTATGTATAAGCGTTCCTCAAAATGGCGAGGGACTATGTTGTATATTTTCGTTTCAATTTAAAGCAAGGCCTGCGTTGACTATACAGTTGTGTACTGTACAGAATGTAGACAAGATTATTTTTTACTGGCACAGCATGGCACCGTATGGCGTGAGTAACTGTAACGGATGACAGACTGTACAAGGAACGGCGTAAAACCTTGAGTTAACCTTTATGTTTTGTCATTTGTAAGTTAGAGCTCTGAGTTGTTTTTATAAAAAGGTTGTTATCGCAAATCTCACATCCGGCTGAAGGAAGTTTCCAATTCAACAGTTAGACTGGTTACAAGTAACAAAAGTAATAAAAAAGAAAACAAAGCATGTATTTGTTTTGAATTTTGACAGGTTTGTGTAAAGACTTAATTACACAAATTCAACAAGCACGAGAGCAGGAGTATCTTTTACCCCATGCGACTGCGTTTCTGTTTACTTGTTGTTTTGCATTTTGGTAGCAGAGGGTATTTAAGATCTCTTTTCTTGGTCAGTGTTTAAGTAATGTTTTTATTTACAACTCAGAAAAAAGAAAAAGAAAAAAAAAGAAGAGAAAAAGAAGAGACTTTTTTTTTCAGCAGAATGAAATGCCAGGGGAACATTTTATTTTAGGAATAATGACGGAGTGTTGCCGATATTTCTATGGTGCAATGATGCCCGAATGTAACTTTTATTCACAATTCAAGCTGGAAAATAACGTAAGTTTGCAGAATTAAATGACAGGGAACATATGATTTTAAATTCATAACGAAGGGTGTACCTTTTTTATTTTGACCCTGATAACGCGCCATAACGATCATCATGTCTTTGAAGCGCAAGCGATCCGTTCTTTCGATAAAAGATAAACAGTCTATAATTGCGCGATTAGAGAAAGGAGAAAAGGGAACCAATTTGGCTTCTACCAGTAAAATAGTTTCATACTAAAATTTTTGCGAATCGTCTTTAATTTCAAGATACGGCAAACATATAAATAATTTTTTTAAAAAAGCACGATGCGATAGAATAGAACGTGAATTTTTTTTTGAAAAGCTCAGTTGGTTTAAGAGTTATTAAGCTTTGATTTTTGAATTTCCCGCCACCTTTTTCCAATTTTTAGAAACATATTAGTATATTTCAAGATACTAATCTCCTAAAGCAATTTAGGTTTGCCCAAAATTTTTCCACATTTGTTCAGTATCACGGCACGCTCTTTCAAAATTATTTATTTGTTTTGCCATAACTTGAAATTTATTAAATTTTGCTGTCAATCTTGTGACGTCATTTCCCCCAAAAAAGCAGTTAAAATCGAAAAACAAATAACATAGGATTGTTGTGGAATACAAGTTGTACGATCATGTAAAGTTTGAGCTCAAAAAAATAAAAAATGTAGAAGTAGTTCCTAGGATGCACTTTTTTGCGTCGTATGGGCCCAACGCGTTCGACTCAATGTTAAAGTGAAAAGCGATGTTTACGATTTTTTGTCCAACCTTTAAAAGAAAGTTTTGCCACCTTAAAGTATATTCAAACTACAAATTAAACAGCAGGTTCTGTTATTAAGTTTCTTAGAAGAGTCAATTAATTAAATAAATTAGGGCTTTTAGGGCTCTTGCAATTTCTGTGTTTTTCTTTGCAACCGTTTCTTGTGTTGTTCAATGCTTATGTATTTGTATTATACCTTTTTTGTTAGCGAAAATGACTTCAACTGAGACTAGTCAAGTTGGTTTGGCTTTTTCCGGTGGTGGCATCCGGTCAGCGGCATTTTGTTCCGGTGTCTTGCGCAGATTGCTACAGCGCAATGTGCAGTTAGATTACCTGAGCTGCGTGTCAGGAGGAGGTTACACAGGCACGGCCTTCCTTGATTGGAAGTACAGAGAAGAGAACAGAGAAGGCGAACAGCACAAAGACTCTGGGGAATGGCATCGCAGATTCTTCAGACATATGAGGGAAAGAGCTGGCTATTTCTGTAACTGGGAAAAACCAGTGGAGGGAATCCTTGATACAGCAATCCTGGCGTGTCTAGTTTTACTGGTTAACTTCATCCAGCCAATTGTCATGTGGGGATCGTACGCATGCCCTGTAGCTTACATCATCGACCTGCTTTTTGGGCATTACCTGCAAACGAAGTTGGACTGTGAAGATGTTGCCAAATTTGCGGCCACTTCGCATGCCAAGTCTGTTCATAGAGTTCTTGAAGGAATGAAAAAGAACGCCACCAGTGAAGAAATTAAAAGTTACTGTCTTTTTCTAAAGGAAACTGAGGATTCATGCACTAGCATTCTCTTTTCTGTTCTGTTCGTTCTTTATGCAGTCTTCTTTGTTCTAAGCAGAAAGACTAGGAAACCCTACTCCACTTACTTTAGTTTTATTTACACCATATTCTTTATTTTCCTAGCTCTTACTTTTCTACCATTTGCTATACATGACATCATAGTCAAGATACCAATCTGGGCCCAGTGTCTTGTCGTGGTTGTTGGTGTTTTGATGTGGTTTTCTCTTCCTTTACTGCGCTGCAACACTTCCTATGTCCTATTAATATACTTAATTTCTTATGTGATATACTGGAAGGTGTACGAAGGAGAATTTTTTGGAATTGCTTATTCTAGCGAGATCTTCTATCGTTGGCTTTTCCTTTCTGGCTTGGCATTGTGGTTTGTTCCCTTGGTGACCGCTTCGCATGTCAGACTTATGCATGTCTACAACAGGTAAGCGCACAGCGGACCCACTTTAATTACTTTGAATAATTTGCTGCATTCTAGGGTTTTGAAAAGTTAATGTAGATACCTATTGCTTTCCTGGGACACGTTACTGCAGGGCCAATGTTTTCTATTTGTTTGGAGTTGTAACTATAGACGTGTTTAACGAAAGCATCTTATTGACAGCAAACTTTTACAGCGAAACTATTTGCACGCGGTTTGTAGTTCCACTTTATTTTGGCGGGGACTTCGGTGGCTGCAAGCGTATAGACAGTGGAAATTAGTTTTCTGATTATTAAATGTCATAACTTTTAACACTTTTAATATCAGATGGAGGCTCCAGAAATCGTTTTATCATCCTAATGGCGTGGGAGAGCACGGATGCGCAGGGATTGGCTTGAAAGACATCTGTCCCTTGTGGACATGCCTGAGGCCACCAAAGGGCGCTGATGGTGATGATGGGGATGATGTGAGGAAAACGAGATCGTTGAACCTCAAGGATTTGGAGGGAATGAAGCCAGAGTACTTATCAAACATTGTGGTAAACCGCTGGATGAAAAATGATGATTCTGATGAAAACTATGAGATTTTAACGATGTCACCCTCAGTAATCGAACGTTTAGATCGCAAACCGCAGGAAGGGCAGTTCGAAGGAAAATTGGAACCAGAAGATGTTAAACTGTCAGCCGCCATGGCTACATCGGCTGCAGCAATTTCAAAGCACATGGGAAAATATGACTATTCGTTTCAAGGACTGACTCGTTTTCATACACTCCTTGGACTTGAGATGGGGGCTACGATGATAAGTGATATCAAAGCAGTGGAAAAGGAAAGTATGGTGTGGAAGGTATGTTGCTTGACCACCATCGTCATAACAGATTTCTCCTCCAATAGTTATTAAACCGATATAATCGCCTTTTGTGATCCTTTTTTCAAAAAATTGGTCAGTATAAGTTTACATGATCTAATGATTCACTCCATTGTTAATATTTTAACTTTTTATTTTAGATCCTGCCAATTCTTATCGATATTTTACGCGCTCTTCCTTTAATGTATGGATCAATCATGACTTATAGCAGTGATGAAACTACAGAAAAAGCCATCAAACAAGGTGTGATTGGTTTCGGTTTAATACACTTTGTCTTGGCGCTCATCGCCGTCATTGACACAGGAGAGGAAAATCCGAAGTCGCCAATGTTGGAAAAGCTTGCAAGGTAAGATATATTTGATGTTGTGACTGTATGATAAGGAATTATTACACTGAAGAAAATTGAACTTTTAACCGGCTTATTTTTGACTGGGAAATCTACCATGAGATTCATATCTAGCAGTTATGTGCCTCATAACAACAAAAAGGGATAAATACTTTTTGTCCGTTTTATGTACTGGGAAAAGAGACCTCTGCTAGCAAGGAATATCGATGCCTGCTACATGAATAAAATTTTGATGTCGGTACTTAACAATATGCCGATATAATGTTTGTTTAGAATGAGAGACCA